CGGCATCCCTGCAGCCCGGCATCCCTGCAACCCTGCATCCCGGCATCCCTGCAACCCTGCATCCCTGCATCCCGGCATCCCTGCAACCCGGCATCCCTGCAACCCGGCATCCCTGAATCCCTGCAACCCGGCATCCCTGCAGCCCGGCATCCCTGCAACCCGGCATCCCTGCAGCCCGGCATCCCTGAATCCCTGCATCCCTGCAACCCTGCATCCCGGCATCCCTGCATCCCTGCAACCCGGCATCCCTGCATCCCTGCAACCCGGCATCCCTGAATCCCTGCATCCCTGCAACCCTGCATCCCGGCATCCCTGCATCCCTGCAACCCGGCATCCCTGCAACCCGGCATCCCTGAATCCCTGCATCCCTGCAACCCTGCATCCCTGCATCCCGGCATCCCTGCAACCCGGCATCCCTGCAACCCGGCATCCCTGCATCCCTGCAGCCCGGCATCCCTGCAACCCGGCATCCCTGCAACCCGGCATCCCTGAATCCCTGCATCCCTGCAACCCTGCATCCCTGCAACCCGGCATCCCTGCATCCCTGCAACCCGGCATCCCTGAATCCCTGCAACCCTGCATCCCTGCAACCCGGCATCCCTGCATCCCAGCATCCCTACATCCCTGCAACCCGGCATCCCTGAATCCCTGCAACCCTGCATCCCTGCAGCCCGGCATCCCTGCAACCCGGCATCCCTGCAACCCGGCATCCCTGAATCCCTGCATCCCTGCAACCCGGCATCCCTGCAACCCGGCATCCCTGCATCCCTGCAACCCAGCATCCCTGCATCCCGGCATCCCTGCATCCCTGCCGTGGGTGCTGCCTCAGGGATGGACACGACTCTGCCCTTAGCAAACTGGACTTTTAGATGCTTCTGTCTGAGAAACTCTCATTTTGTTGGCGTAAATTGTTATTGGAAATGAGGAATTGTTCCCTGGCGGGTGGGCAGCCCTGGCACAGGTGCCCAGAGCAGCTGTGGTGCCCCTGGATCCCTGGCAGTGCGCAAGGCCAGGCTGGACACTGGGGCTGGAGCACCTGGGACAGTGGGAGGTGTCCCTGCCATGGCAGGGGTGGCACTGGGGGGGATTTAGGGTCTCTTCCCCCACACCACTCTGGGATTCTGGACGTGCAGCCCATTCGTGAGCCACCCCACAGGGGCTCTCTGTGCCTGCCTTGCTATTTCTGCTCTGATGCCTGTGATCAGCACAACTCCTGTGATTTCTGCATAGATCAGATTTGTTCATAGACCTTGACACTTGCACAACTTCCTTCATGCAGAAAAGCCAGTTCTTTATTCACATGGCCAGTTCTTTATTCACATAGCCAGTTTTTATTCACATGGCCAGTTCCTTATTCACGTAGCTCATTCTTACAGGAAATATCAGAAGGTACTGTGTTAAACCTATCTGATTAACAATACACTGAAACTCGCTGAGGGTCAGTAAATGGCCTTTGTGCCTGCCCACCAAATCCTTCTATTTCTGGATGGTTTACATATTGTGTTCACTGATTGCCATGGGACAGATTTCTTGTTTTTTACAGGTGCAAATGGTTCTCTTTCCAGATGGGTTTGTGGTGTAGCTGCTTTCATTCTGGTTTAGTTGTGCTAGCTGCTTTCATTCTGGTTTGTGGTTCTAGCTGCTTTCATTCTGGTTTATGGTTCTAGCTGCTTTCATTCTGATTTGTGGTGTAACTGCTTTCATTCTGGTTTAGTTGTGCTAGCTGCTTTCATTCTGGTTTGTGCTGTAGCTGCTTTCATTCTGGTTTAGTTGTGCTAGCTGCTTTCATTCTGGTTTATTGTTCTAGCTGCTTTCATTCTGGTTTAGTTGTGCTAGCTGCTTTCATTCTGGTTTGTGCTGTAGCTGCTTTCATTCTGGTTTATGGTTCTAGCTGCTTTCATTCTGGCTGCTGGTTTGATAGAGCACCAGGGCCCAGCATACTTTACAATGTCTCTCCCTGCATGCCCCAGGTGCTGGCACAGGCAGGTGGGTCTGGGGTCCCCAGGGAGGGCACAGGGCTCCTGCAGGAGGGGCAGGGCCCTCTCCCACCCCCTGCACCCCCAAATCCCCCAGAGCACGTTTCCATTTGGGGCCTTTCACCTCCCATGGTTTTGCAAACACACGGCGCAGGGGAAGCTAATTTTAATTTTTATTAAAAAGTGTTTCTCATTCTTATATTTGCACAACATAATGTAGAGAATGAGATAGAATCTTCAGATGACCTGGAAAAGCCTTCTGGGAGATTTATAAACCATCTACTTCAGCTGTAAGAACATTTGTTTTAATTCCCATATAAAAGTGAGATAAATTGGCTTGTAATAGCACGAGTCCAAAAATATCTCAAGTTACCACTTTATTTCCATATTGCAACATAACACAATTCAGTGCATAATTAGAAAGCTGAATTAGGGAAGGGGAGCAGTTGCTCCTGATTAGACTGAAGGCAAAGCTTTAGCCTGCAAAAAGGGTTCTGACTCCTAAAGGGACTTTTCAAAGCTCCGCAGCTCTGAGTTAAGTTGTTCTATAAACTGGAGGCTCAGTTCTTCTGGCCCAGCAGCTGGAAATCTCTCCTGAGTTGGCAGAGACAGAGGCCTGATTCTGCAGGGCTCTGCTTCCCAGAGAAATCACAGTTCATGCAGAATTAGCCAGTGATGTATTTTGTTCTATAAAAATTGCCCGTTATTAGATGTGTGTATTCCAGACCAGTCCAATTTTCTCTCAAGGTTTGGAAGGCAATTTTTGTGATTTGCATGAATAAAGCAAGAATCTGGAAAACATAAAAATCTAAAATTCAAATGGAAATCACTTATGTAAAAGCCGTGATAAGATCTAGGTGCTTTTGCATGTGAATGATGTCCTCGGGGTTGGGTTTTCTCCAGTGCCTGCTTCAAAGTCGCTGCATTTGCAATGCAGTGTGTGGAGTTAAGATTTGTCAGAAGTCAGAGTCTGCTGGAGAGAGATTTGGGTGAGGGTGACCCTTCAGAAGGGTTTGTCCTTCTGTCAGAGCAGATGTGGCTCCAAACCCTGCAGGGGAGTGGCCAGGGAGACCAACACCAGATTGCTTTAGAAAGCCTGGATGTCCTCTGGCAACGCTTCCAGTCATGGCATGGGACCTTAAATCCCACCCAGTGCCACCCCTGCCATGGCAGGGACATGGAATCCCACCCAGTGCCACCCCTGCCATGGCAGGGACACCAAATCCCACCCAGTGCCACCCCTGCCATGGCAGGGACACCTCCCACTGTCCCAGGTGCTCCCAGCCCATCCAGCCTGGCCTTGGGCACTGCCAGGGATGCAGGGGCAGCCCCAGCTGCTCTGGGCACCTGTGCCAGGGAACAATTCCCAGTATCCCATCCATCCCTGCCCTCTGGCACTGGAAGCCTTTCCCTGTGCTGTCCCTCCATCCCAGGTAAATGTTCTCTCTCTCTGCAGTTTCTTGTAGCTCCTTCAGGCCCTGCAAGGCCACAGCTCTGTCACCCCAGAGCCTTCTCCCCTCCAGGCTGGATAAGCTCCATCCCAGTTCTCATTCATGTCGAGTCTGAGTATCTCTCACTAAATCTGCATCTTAATTTCTTAATTTAATCTCAGGTTTGGGAGCTGCCAGGTTCAGCAGGCAGCTGTAAAAGGCACGCATGAGTTATTAGAGTCCCATTGTCAGTTAAATCTGATCCTTTGTACTTTAAGTCACCCATTTGCATTCATCTAAAATGCTTCCCAAGAATTTATCAGAAGAAGTGAAATAAGAAATGAAATAGTTTCACGTAAACTGCATTTTTATGTCTGACTGGTAAAACCACAAAGCAGAGATAAAACACATAAAACTGAGGCTCTGCATAATAAGCATATCTATTAGTTTCCCTTATCTTTAGGCTGCTCCCATTTGTCATGAGAAGCTTTGTGTGTCACTCATCCCTCCTTGTTCTACAAACGCTCTTTTCTGCCTCCCTTTTATCTCCCATCAGCGTCTGCAAGGTGGGAGCTCTGGAGGTGCTGCCAGAGACCCCTTTGATTAAATAATCATCTCACCTTCAACCCCTGCCCAGCAGGAGAAATCAAACCCAGCTCCTGAGCTGCTGCTGCTCAGGATGGAGGGGAAGGGTTGGACCCAAGGCTGAGGCAGCTCCAGTCAGACCAGCTCCCCCCTGGGGCACAGCTGCTGCTGCAGGGTGCCCTAATTACATAAATCACAATTAAACTGTGGGACCTTGCTGTGGGAACTGTGCTAAGGCCCCTGGAAGTCTCTGTCACTGAGGCTGTTGGTGGATCAGGCAGGGCATTTGTGTGGGACATCACGGTGGCTGCAGGGCAGAGGTCTCGGCTCCCTCATCTACACTGCAGACTGGTTAAAAATCGGTGTAAAATGGGGGGGTGTGTGAACTGCTGCAGCCTGGCCAGGCCTGTGGTGTGTAACATGCAAACTGGTTAAAAATTCCTTTACAACTGGTGTTTGTGTGTGTGGTGCTGCAGGCTGGCCAGCCCAATGTGTAATGTGTGCAAATTGGTTAAAAATGACTTTACAATGGTATTTATGCTTGAACTGCTGCAGGCTGGCCAGGCCTGATGTGTAACACATGCAGACTGGTTAGAAATGACTTTACAGTGGGTATTTATGTTTGAACTGCTGCAGCCCACACCCATGGTGTGTAACTCATGCAGACTGGTTGAAATCCCTTTCCAGCTGGTACTTATTTGTGTGTGAAGTGCTGCAGCCCTGCCCTGGTGTGTAACACATGGAAACTGGTTCAAAATCTCTTTCTAGTAGGTATTTATGTGTGTATGAGGCACTGCAGCCCCGCCATGGTGTGTGACACACCCAGACAGGTTACAATCCCTTTCCAGCAGGTATTTCTGTGTGTGGGGGGTGCTGCAGCGCCACTCACAGTGTGTAACATCTAGAAAGATTGCAATCCCTTTCCAGCAGGTATTTTACACCTGGTATTTCATGTGTGAGCAGCCCCAGGCCGGTGACCCCGCGCGTAACCCATCTCTGTTGTCCGCAGCTCTACATCCAAACCACCACGCTCACCATCTCCATGAACCTGAGCGCGTCGGTGGCGCTGGGGATGCTCTACATGCCCAAGGTTTACATCATCATCTTCCACCCCGAGCTGAACGTGCAGAAGCGCAAGCGCAGCTTCAAGGCGGTGGTGACGGCGGCCACCATGTCCTCGCGCCTGTCGCACAAGCCCAGCGACCGCCCCAACGGCGAGGCCAAGACGGAGCTCTGCGAGAACGTGGACCCCAACAGTGAGTACGGGGCTCTGCAGCGCTCCCGGGCTGCTCCTGCTTTGCTCCATCATGGTGTTTGCAGCTCTGGGCTGGTGGTGGAACTCCCTGCTTTTGGCTCTTGGCGGTGCCGTTTGGTGGTGGAGCCTCAGTAGGGGTTGGGAGCTGTGAGTGACCCATGGTCCCCTGCTTTCCCTCTGAGAGGGAGGGAACAGCACATCCCCGGGCACAGAACCCTGAACATCCCCGGGCACAGAACCCTGGGCACAGAACCCTGAACATCCCTGGGCACAGAACCCTGAACATCCCCAGGTACAGAACCCTGCAGCCCGGGTCCAGCTGGCCCTGGCAAGCACCAAATTCATCAATAACTCTGTTAACACCAGTTTTCACCCTGGTTCTTGCAAAGTTGCTTTGCAAAAATCTCACGGTCCCTGAAGATTCCCATTTAGGGATTTTATCTGGTCTTAATGCAAATCTTGCCACCAATTTAAAGGGAAAATAGATGGCAAAGACACTTCTAGTTTCCTTAATGTGCATAGCAGAGGATAGCACAGCACGAAATTACAGACTGAGGCCATCAAATTTGATTTGCATTTGAATCTGGAAGGAGCTGAGGAAGGAGACAGCTGCACAGCTCTGAGCACGCTGCAAAGGTTTGGGCACGTCTGCAGTTCTTGTGCAAAGCCAGCTCTGAATGTGGAGAAATGCCCTTTCCCTGCCCGTGCTCCACTGATCTGTTTGCTGCTGGAATCCCTGCCACTTCTTGTCCTGTCAGTGCTGCTGGAATTCCTGCCTCTAGTGCTGCTGCTGGAATTCCTGCCTCTAGTGCTGCTGGAATTCCTGCCTCTAGTGCTGCTGCTGGAAATCCTGCCTCTAATGCTGCTGGAATTCCTGCCCCATTGATGCTGCTGGAATTCCTGCCTGGAGCAGCAGCTCTGCTGTCAAAGCAGAGTGGGATCAAGCAGCACATCCCTGACACTGCATTTTCCTCCCCCTGCTCACCCCTGCAGGATTTATCCCTGATGTCTGATCATGCAGGTGTACAAAATCCATTCCTGCTGGGAAAACCAAATTCATCCTTGGAAGCTGGACTGGGGTCCAGAGCCAGGGACACAGCCAGGGACACAGCCAGGGACACAGCCATGGAACGGCTCTCACAAATTAAGGACTTGCAGCTGGAGAGAGCCCTGAGTGCAGGAGGAAATAAATGGAATTCCTGCCCTGGGCTGTTCCCCAGTGGCACTCAGGGCCCTCTGCCAAGGCAGATTTCAGGAACGGAAGGCAGGAAAAGAGAATTTGAAATCCAGCTGGGCCAGGGCAGGGGATTGTGTTGCTGGTGCACTTCACTAACCACTGTTCGGATCAACTAAGCTGAAACTAAACCCCACAAACCCCAAAATGTAAGAATTCCATGCCAAAACTTGGCCAAAGAGAAAGCCACCCAAGCTGTGGTGCTGGAATGTTCCCTGTGGAAGCCCAGCCTGGGGACATCCCCCCCAGGGTCCCCTCCTGCTCTCATCCTCCTGTGCTGCATCTCTTGCTGCTTTCAGACTTCTGAGAATATTCTCCCCTCCTACCAAAGAACTGCCAGATTTTATTTTGGGAAGGAAATATTTTTACTATAAATAAAAACTGCTCACCTAAGCCCCACGTTTCTGGTCAAACACCCATTTTTAGTCCAGGGCTGTAGACCAGAACATGTTTTCAAGAGGCACAAGGGCCAGAGGGTCCTGGCTGCCCAGATGTGCCACCTTTGCCTCAAGCCTTCACTGAGTGGGAATTTAAAGCTCATGAATGTGTTTGTTAGGAAATGTGCCATCTCTGACTTTCTGTTTTATAAGGTTTTCCTTCTCTTTTATCATTTGTGAAATAAGTATTTTAAAAACATTTTATGTTATTTATGTGGAATTCCATCTGTTCATGGTCTCAGCTGCACCAGCACTGCTCATTCATTCCCCAGGTCTGTGTGTTCATAACAATTATTAGAAAATCAAATGATATAAACTTCTGCTGTACTTCGAAGTTTTGGGGTGCCTTAGTGCCAGTGTAACTGCTGCAGTTCCTGTGCTGTGGCATTGATTGGGTTCTTGATCAGCCCCCCGATCAGGCAGTGTTCAGGAATGTGTATAACAGTAGTTCACCTGAACTCAGGTTTTTGAAGTTTGAGTAGTCTGTTCAATAAAAGTTGTTTACAGTTCCATTTTTAGGTGGAAAAAAATGAAAATTGTATTAGTGAATTTTAAAAACAGTCATAACATCCAAGCAAAACTCCTCAAACTTAATTTTCAGTGAAATTTTGGGTATGGTGTCCATACATAAAAATGGGTTTGATGTTTTTATAGCAATTTCACTTTAAAAATATTTTATACTGTGAATAGGGAAATTTCCAGAGTTTTACCAATCAGAAAATAGGAAATGTGAATTACAAATTGCTCTGGATGCATCTTGGAGCATTTTTTTCTAAAAATCTCAAATATCTTCTCTCAAAACCAAAGGATGTTTTTCCAGTATATCTCTGTGAAATTCAGGGTTTGGTTGATGGAGCCATGCAAGGCTCTGGAGCTCAGGGGGCAGAGCAGGGAAGTTCCTGGGGAGGATCAGAGCCAGCAGTGCCCAGAGCGAGCTGAGTGCTGGCCTGGCTCAGCCGTGGGCTCTGCGAGTACAGTGGGGTTTGCACTTTGATTTTCTGCTCTTTCTCACGGGGCTGCTGCTGCTGCTTGCTCAGCTGCTGGGTGCTGCAGGTGCCATTTCTGCTGGGAGGTGTTCCATGAGTGTTCCCCTGTCCCAGCCCAGGGAGCACCAGCACGGGACCCACGGATCCCCAAACCAACACTGGAAATCTGGGGCTGACCCTACCCCCAAAGCCTGGAAATGTGGGGCTGAGCCCACATTTATGGCCTGTCCTGCTCACAGGCCACAGTCAAAGCACAAGCAAAATGTGAATGGTTTTACAGAGAAATAGCCTTGAAAAAATCTCCAGGTTTTAGCAGATCTTTAGAAGACCAGAGCAGCTGTGGCTGCCCTGATCCCTGGCAGTGCCCAAGGCCAGGCTGGACACTGGGACAGTGGGAGGTGTCCCTGCCATGGCAGGGGTGGCACTGGGCGGCATTTGGGGTCCCTCCCAGCCCAGACCCCTCTGTGGCAGTGGGCTGAAGGTGTCCCTGTCAGCTGAAGCTCTGTGAACTCCTGAGTGCTGCCCAGGAGCGGGGGATGCTCATCCTGTGGGACCAGTGCACACAGCTCAGGGCAGCCTGCTGGGACTGAGGCTCACAGAAAGGTGTGCACAGCACCTGGAGCGGGTCTGGAGTGAGCCCAGAGGGAGGCACTGATTGATTGCCATGAGAGAGAAGCCTGGCAGCGCAGTGACCTCCTGTCCCTGCCATCAGGGGATGAGGCTGGCTGTGTGGGATTGCCTGGGATCCCTGGGAGAGCCACACCTCTCCTGCTGAACGGGGTGTGCTAGGGCCAAGCCTTCCAATCCATTTAGGAGAAGTCTCCTAATCACTCCTGTTTGCCATCTGGCAGTGCCTGCTGTCCCTCACTGCAGCTTTCCCTGCTGGGCTCAGCAGGACGTGGGGCACAGCAGCTCCCAGCCCTGGGATGAGCTCGCTGTGCTCCTGTGTGGCATTGCTGGAATTTCACACTTTGGGAAGGTGTTTCTGGTGGGGCCTGAGGTGGAGCAGGTGGAGGGCCCTGCTGGGCTGTCTGCTCCATTTTCTGCTGCAGGAGCAGCGTCAGACTGGGACAGAACCCATGCTTAGCTTCTGCTGAGGTTTACATGTAATTACTGCTTCCCTCTTGCTGAGGAAAGCACTCAAATGGCTCTTGGTGATGCTGAGGAGGGACAGGGGGTCTGAAACAGCAGCCAAAATATCCCGGGTTGGTTCAGGGAGAGCAGGGAGAAGTCAGCTCAGCCAGCCCTGCTCTCCTGAGAGAGCTGCTCCCCTGGCTGGAGGTACCTGAGCCCCCTGGCCTGGCTGCTCTGGGGCTGCCAGGGCTGAATCCTGTGCTGATTCTTGTGCTGATTCCTGTGCTGCCAGGGCTGATTCCTGTGCTGATTCCTGTGCTGCCAGGGCTGATTCCTGTGCTGATTCCTGTGCTGATTCCTGTGCTGCCAGGGCTGATTCTTGTGCTGATCTCTGGGCCGATTCCTGTGCTGCCAGGGCTGATTCCTGTCCTGAATCCTGTGCTGATTCCTGTGCTGCCAGGGCTGATTTCCATGCTGCCGGGGCTGATTCCTGTGCTGCCAGGGCTGAATCCTGGGCTGATTCCTGAGCTGATTCCTGTGCTGCCAGGGCTGATTTCCATACTGCCGGGGCTGATTCCTGGGCTGATTCCTGTGCTGCCAGGGCTGATTGATATCTGTGCTGATTTCTGGGCTGATTCCTGTGCTGCCAGGGCTGATTGATATCTGTGCTGATTCCTGTGCTGATTCCTGTGCTGGTGCCCCCAGAGCCCAGTGGGAGGCAGAGGAGTGCCAGGGCTCGTGGCAGGGCAGGCTGGGAGCGTTCCTTGTGCCCAGACCCATCCTACATTCAATGTATTTACTTTCCCTGTAGACTCCCTACCACCAGTAAGAAAGAGTGTTCAAAAGTCTGTTACTTGGTACACTCTCCCACCTACTGTATAGCTTTTGCCTGCTTTCCAAAAAGGTAAGGAAAACCGAGCTTTTCTTACTTTATTCTCAAATGATGGTGGTGATTATGATTATTGTGACTATTTTTATGATATACATAATTATATGAGAAATTTTCATTAGTGCAGCTGTGTTAAAAGAGATATCTAACTTAAAAATTGTTCACAAACCTGTTACCAAAAGCTTTCATGGGGGGTTTGCCTGAAAGGGGAGACCCTGATGTGAGTCTGGGAGCTCTCCTCCTGCCCACCACTGGAGCTGGACCCCGATAAAGCCTTTGAGGGTGGAATATTTGTATAAAAACAAACAAACAAATGATCAAAAGTGAATTCTGGCCCCCAGACCTGACAGCTCAGGCAGTGTTTTCTGCGTGTTTTCTGAGTCCTCCCCAGCACCAAAGCTGTACATGGCCCCTAAAGATTGAAAAGCTGCTTTTCCCCAGGGCAGCCCAGTGGCACTGACTGGGTGGAACCACGAGTGAACAATTTTTGAGGGCTGGCTTTTGTGGCTGCCTCGTGGTGATCTGGTGATGTGTGAGCTCCTGTGGCATTTGTGAGTGCAGCAGCCAGGAATTCCTGCTTTCCCAGGGACACAGAGGGGTCAGAAGCCTTTGATAGTGCACAGAAACGATTGCCAAGCATTAATGAGTGTTTCTCACAGTTCCCTGCGTGCTCAGGGGTTTGCCCAGGTACAAAAGGCTGTACCTGACCTGGTTCCTGTGCTGCTGTGCGCTGAGGGCTGGGAAAATCACTGTGTTCAGCCTTCAGAGTGTTTAGCGTGGCCCTAATAGGTGAGAACTCCTATCAGCAAAGGTTGGAATGCTGCTTGAATTGAGTCTCTGAGTCACAGGAAAAGAAATTACCAATATCTCTGGCTGGTGTAAATTGCCCAGCTCCAGCATCAATTCAGTCCTCCCGAGAGCCCAAATTGGTTTGGATTGCGTTTGAATCAGGGCCATTGTGGCAGCTCCCAGCTCAGGAGGGGAGGCTGAAGCTCTCATGGACCCCGGGCTGACCCCGAGCATCCCAGGCTGGGCTGGGCTGGGGAAATGGGACAAAGCACCAGGGGGACAAGGGGCCACTCAAAGCATCCTGCAAATGAAAGAGGAGAAGGAAAGGGCAGCTCTGCGGAGATGAGATTGCTAAAGGAAGGAGATGAGAAAGAGAGAGATGGAAAAGATCTCTATCTCAGGAGAAATAGTTTGTTGTGGTTTTTTATAGAAAACCTTTTTTAAAATGGCACAAAAAAATAATTAGGAGCTCAGATTCTAAAATTAATTTATTTCTGAGTAATAATGGGAATAATGTAAGGAATTGCTGTCTGCAAAGGCACACAAATAACTCTGTCATCCAGGTCCTATAAAAAGCAGCTGACCACTCAGATTCTTTAAGCAGATATTAAAACTTGGTCCAGAGAAGCTTTGAAAATGCTTTTCATCCCAAAGCAGGGGTGCTGTGGGCTTGTGCTGGTCCTGCCAGTGCTCCTGGGCTCCAGGCTGTTTTCCATCCCAGCACTGCTGCTCCAGCTCCTGCAGCCCTGGCTGCTGCTTTGATCTGCTCTCCCAGGAATACAGAACAACAAGCAGCGTGAAACAATGCAGTGTATTAAAAACAAAGCTGGGCCAGCAGCAAACATCAGCCCGCTTGTAAATTGACACTTGTTCTGCTGGTAAGGTGTTTGTAGTAGGAACGAGCAGAGCTGAGCCCTGACGTGACTGTATCAATTTCTGCTTGTGATGCACAGGGAGATGGCTTTGAAAGGCTCTAAATTGTTTCCTGGGAGTGACAAATAGGGCTTCTCTGCTCCTGAGGCTGATGGAAATACCAGGCTTGGAAAACACGGGTAGGTGTGTGAGGGAAGGAATTGTCCATCAGTGAACAAGGCAAGGGGGCAGCTGAGGCTTCTGCAGGGCTGCTGGGGCTGCACGAGTGCCTGCACGAGTGCCTGCAGCACCTGGCACTCCCCCTGGGCTGGGGCTGGGCTGCCAGGGCCCAGGGGCAGCTCCCTGCCCTGGCCTTGGCAGGGTGGCAGAGCCTCGGCCTCTGCATTGCCCTGGGTTCCTGCTGGGTGTGCCAGGCTGGCCCTGGCACTGCTTGGGGCAGGGAGAGCATCCCCAGCAGGTCCTGCAGGGATGTGCATGGCTGGGGATGTGCTGATGGACCCCAACACTGCAGGATGTGCATGGCTGGGGATGTGCCAGGGCCTGGGGCTGGACACTGACACCAGGCAGTGCTGACTGACTCCAGGGTTTGGGGGAACTGCACACTGACACCATGGAGTGCTGATTCCCGTGGCACTGGGAGCCAGGGCACTGCCAGGGCTGGCACAGCCCGTGCAGCACCACTGTGCAGTCCCTGCCTGCCGTGGGCACGGCTGCCCCGAGGAGAAGGGCAGTGTCTGGGTTCCAGTGAGGAACTGATGTGGGATGAGTTCTGACCTGGCCTCAGGCTGACCTGGGCTGCTGTTGGAAGGGGGAAATGGTTCAGGTACCCCCAGTGCTCCATGGTTCAGGTGCCCCCAGTGCCCCATGGTTCAGGTGCCCCCAATGCCCCATGGTTCAGGTGCCCCCAATGCCCCATGGTTCAGGTGCCCCCAATGCCCCATGGTTCAGGTGCCCCCAGTGCCCCATGGTTCAGGTGCCCCCAATGCCCCATGGTTCAGGTGCCCCCAATGCCCCATGGTTCAGGTGCCCCCAGTGCCCCATGGTTCAGGTGCCCACAATGACCCATGGTTCAGGTGCCCACAATGCCCCATGGTTCAGGTGCCCCCAGTGCTCCATGGTTCAGGTGCCCCCAGTGCCCCATGGTTCAGGTGCCCCCAATGCCCCATGGTTCAGGTGCCCCCAGTGCTCCATGGTTCAGGTGCCCCCAGTGCCCCGTGGTTCAGGTGCCCCCAATGCCCCATGGTTCAGGTGCCCCCAGTGCTCCATGGTTCAGGTGCCCCCAGTGCCCCATGGTTCAGGTGCCCACAATGCCCCGTGGTTCAGGTGCCCCCAGTGCTCCATGGTTCAGGTGCCCCCAGTGCCCCATGGTTCAGGTGCCCCCAGTGCTCATGGTTCAGGTGCCCACAATGCCCCGTGGTTCAGGTGCCCCCAGTGCCCCGTGGTTCAGGTGCCCCCAATGCCCCATGGTTCAGGTGCCCCTCAATTCCGTGCCTGTTCTCCTCCTGCTCCCAGCCCAGGGTGCCCCAGGCCAGGAGCAGCCCGTGCCAACACCTGGGCACAGGCAGGTGGCCCTGGGCACAGTCAGCCTTTGCAGGCTCTGGGTCTGAGCTGGGAGATGCTCTGTAGCCCATCAGCCTCCAGTGTGTGCTATGGAATAATTATTTGCTGGATTGAAGTGTCATTTTTGTTTTAAATCTGGCCAGTTTCAGCCTGAGAAAATACTCCGTGTTTAACCTCACTTGAGGGATTTTCTGTTCAGTGGAGGCTGCTGAGAAATGAGAATTTGCACTCAAAATTGATAACTGAAAGGCTTTGACAGCCCTTCACTGCATCTATTTGCTTCTGGAACGGCTGACTGGAAAACTAACCATCCCCAATTCCTTCTAATGGTGATGTGCTTATTTTAAAAGTGTTGCACAGAGGTGCATCCTGCCCTTGGGCACTGCCGGGGATGCAGGGGCAGCCCCAGCTGTGCCAGGGCTGCCCGCCCTGCCAGGAACAATTCCCAATTCCCAATCTCCCATCCAGCCCTGCCCTCTGGCAGTGGGAGCCATTCCCTGGCTCCTGTTCCTCCATCCTTGTCCCCAGTCCCTCTGCAGCTCTCCTGGAGCCCCTGCAGGGGCTCTGAGCTCTCCCTGGAGCTGCTCCTCTCCAGGTGAGCCCCCCAGGTGTCCCAGCCTGGCTCAGAGGGGCTCCAGCCCTCAGAGAGAACATTCCCTCCTGTCTGAACATCTGGGGATCATGTTACTTTCTGTTTTACATCAAAAAATAATTACTTTGGTATAATTGCCAACTCCCATATTAATTATCTGCAGACTGTCTCACACCTCTCATGACTGTACACAATACAAGATTGTAATGTGCAGGGAAGTGTCAGACTGTTTCCTTTTTTAAAAATTGAAATTCTGAGGGCACTTAAACCATCACCTTCGAGCCTGATGTGTGAATAAAAACACACTCATGGCTAGAAGTGCCTGGGATATTAAAAGCTGTGTAGTAGATGGATGTCTGGGAGCACAAATTAGGATTAGTTAGTGTCTAAGTATTCATTGTTCATTCCACATTTTCTGTCTCCTTTTGTGCTCTTTTTCCCTGGTAAATCCTGGTGAGGAGTGAGCAGATACAGCTGTACCTCACGGACCAGTCCCTCTCACTGCTTTGCTTAACAAACTCAGCAGCTCTGAGTTCTCCCTTTGACTAATTTGTCACTCCTTGCACCCTCTGAGGGAGGATCTGTCACATCTATAAATTGTGATATCAGGGAGAAGACTCAGCTTTGGCTCTCCTGTGTCCCACAGATGTGGAACGGCTCCCTTGCTCCCAGGCAGGGCAGATGTCAGGGCTCAGCCCTGCTGCAGGGCTCCCTCCCATCCCTCCCATCCCTGCTGCCTCAGGAAAGGAGCTGGAGATCAGCAGATCAGAGTGCACAGCCTGCCCTCCATCCCCTGAGCCCCTGCAATCGCCGAACCCGGGCTCTGGGAGCAGCTCACAGCTGCAGGCAGCTCCCAGCAGCAGGACCAGAGGCTGGAAGGGCCATGGTTTTCATAGGCCTAATGAAAACTTAGCGAGTTCAAAAAGGAAACTCTAATAATGGTGGGGTAAAAGGAAGAACAAACCTCAAGCAATATTACAGCAAAATTAATTTCTCAAACACACAAATCCAGGCAGTTTTTGGTGGACATGATTGCAAGTATGGAGAAAACTGCTCAGGCTGTGTCAGAACAGCAAGAAATCTCAGTTTCTGCCTTGTTGTGTGCCTTTGGTGAAGCTGTGCAAACATTGATCTGTTTGTCACCTTGTGGAAGCAAACAGGAAACCCCAGCAGCTCTGGGGAGGGTGGGAGCAAACAGAGAAGGGAGCACAGCCCAGCCCTGGTGTCCCTGCAGGGATCACTGCAGTGAGGCAGGGGTTGGTCTGTGCTCTCACTGAGTGCAAACAGGATATATTGGTGCAGGACCTGGGTTGGTTTGGCTTTTGAGGGCCAGCAAGCAGCAGCAAATCCAAGCAAACACCCAGAAATTGGGGGTTCTGGGTGCTCCTGTCTGCCAGCACTGCTGTCCCACCCAGCACCTCTGGAGAACGTCACAGGGGCTGTGTCTCTGTGCTGGCTCCAGGGAAGGAGATGTGGCACTGCTTCACACCCAGCACCTCTGGAGAACACCACAGGGGCTGTTTGTCCTTCCTGGCTCCAGGGAAGGAAATATGGCATCTCCCAGAGAGCTGTGCCCTTCATTGAGGACAGCATCCTTTGGCCCTCCAGAGAGGTGTTTGCCTTTGGGCTGGGGTTGTTTGGGCTCTGACAGCAGGGAGCAAAGGCAGAGGTTCCTTTCTGACAGCAGGGAGCAAAGGCAGGGGTTCCTTTCCAGCCAGAGGAAGTGAAAGAACAGGAAGGGAGCAGGTTAAACACGTGTAATGCCCATGAAGCACGCCACGGGCACAGGGAAAAGGAAAGGCAGCCCAGCCCAGCCCGGGGGTGGGGTTCGGCTGAGCTCCCCTCAGTGACCCAGAGCTCTGGCTCTCAGCTGGGAGCAGTCTGGCACTGCCTGCACCGAGGTGCCTGTTCCTGCTGCTCCGGGGAAAGAGAAACAGCAAAGATAAAGTTGCCATAGTTACACCACTTGTCACGATGCTTATCATGTCCCTGGGATAAAGAGCCCTGCATTAAATCTGGGCTCTTATTAATATCAGCTGTTAAACATTTCCAGGGTCTTTGAAATCAAGACTTCTGCTAAAAAATTAAATGTTGATTGCAGCAAAATGGGGCAGTTTAACAGTGCAGCTCAGAGGGTAATTGTGTCAGACACTGTGGAACAGAGTTGTACACCAGGAATACATTTTCCACTGAATTGAGTCTCTTGCACCTCATGAACATCCTTGATTTTCCTGTTAAGATGTTTGTTACTCAGCTGGCAGGGAGGGAGAGGAGTTCCTGGGGTGAGTGAGAAAACATTGCTGTGTGATTGCTGTGTAACCATGGCAGGGCTGGGAGAGCTGGAGAGAGGCTTCAGGGTGAGCTGATTGTGGCCTCTGGAGCCTGGAGGGGCTGGCAAGGAAGGGGGAGAGGGAATATTGGAGGGACAGGACAGGGGAATGGCTTCCCACTGCAAGGGGGAAGGGTGAGCTGGGATATTGGAGAGGAATTGTGAGCTGGGATGTTTGAGAGGAATTGTGAGCTGGGACATTGGGGAGGAGTTGTGAGCTGGGGTATTGGGGAGGAATTGTGAGCTGGGATGCTGGGGAGGAATTGTGAGCTGGGACATTGGGGAGGAATTGTGAGCTGGGACATTGGGGAGGAATTGTGAGCTGGGATATTGGAGAGGAATTGTGAGCTGGGATGTTTGAGAGGAATTGTGAGCTGGGACATTGGGGAGGAATTGTGAGCTGGGGTATTGGGGAGGAATTGTGAGCTGGGATGTTGGGGAGGAATTGTGGGCTGGGACACTGGGGAGGAATTGTGAGCTGGGACATTGGAGAGGAATTGTGAGCTGGGATACTGGGGAGGAATTGTGAGCTGGGACACTGGGGAGGAATTGTGAGCTGGGGTATTGGGGAGGAATTGTGAGCTGGGATGTTGGGGAGGAATTGTGAGCTGGGATGTTTGAGAGGAATTGTGAGCTGGGACACTGGGGAGGAATTGTGAGCTGGGATACTGGGGAGGAATTGTGAGCTGGGACACTGGGGAGGAATTGTGAGCTGGGACACTGGGGAGGAATTGTGAGCTGGGACACTGGGGAGGAATTGTGAGCTGGGACACTGGGGAGGAATTGTGAGCTGGGACCCTGGGGAGGAGTTGTGAGCTGGGACACTGGGGAGGAGTTGTGAGCTGGGACACTGGGGAGGAGTTGTGAGCTGGGACACTGGGGAGGAATTGTGAGCTGGGGTATTGGGGAGGAATTGTGAGCTGGGACACTGGGGAGGAGTTGTGAGCTGGGACACTGGGGAGGAATTGTGAGCTGGGGTATTGGGGAGGAATTGTGAGCTGGGACACTGGGGAGGAGTTGTGAGCTGGGACACTGGGGAGGAGTTGCTCCCTGCGGGGGGATGAAGCCCACAGCAGCTCCCAGGATGGCAGAGAAGCAAAGGAGATGTGCTGGAGCAGGTGACAGCAGTGAAGCAAAGGAGATGTGCTGGAGCAGGTGACAGCAGTGCTGGGAGGGCAGGGCAGCCACGGAGCCCCGGTTGTGCCCAGGGTTGGGGACAAGGCACTGGGGACACCCTGGCAGCAGTTCAGCAGCACAGGCAGGAGGCAGAGGTGAATTGTTTTCCATCAGCTCTGACTCCAGCCCTCCTTGGGGATGTTTCAGCCATCACTCAGGTCATCATTTTAATTATGTTTCATGCAAACTGTTTTCACACTTGGCTCTAACAGCTCTCTGCAGAGCCTGGCTTTCCAGGTAAGATAACCAAAGTGCTGTTAATGACTTTGTTTTAAGCAGGTGAAAATAATTTGCTTCCATTTGTTATCTTTGCAGTCCACAGCACTCACACAGCAGCAGTAGGAATGGAGTTGGAATTAGCAGGTTTTCTGTACCGCTGGCTCCAATTAAGGAATATGAGTTGGGTTTGTTTCTTCCCTGCCATAATCTCATAAACATTTGGAAACACATTTCCTAAGCTCCTGAGCACCTTTGCAGCTCCACGTGACCTGGTGCAGGTGAGGCTCTGGGGCTGGATTGGTGTGAGGGTTGTGCAGTGGCTCCTTTGGCCCCTGGCTCCATCCCCACGTCCTCCTCCTCCTCTCAGAGCAGGATTTCTGTCCCCCATCGCTGTGGGACACGAGCACAGCTCTGCCTGTGCCCCCTGCCATCCTGCAGGGCTGGAGGTGTTGATCAGCCTTCCTGCTGCCCATCCCCTGATCCTGGTGGGGCAGACGCTCTCAGCTTCCCCTGACACACAGGTTCTTATCTGCAAAGCAGACAAGGAGGAGATGGGGAGAGATGTAGCCAACAGGAGATAGATAGGGATGCAGCCAAACAGGAGATAGATAGGGAGACAGCCAAACAGGAGATAGGGAGACAGCCAAAGGTGCCTGAGATGGATGTTCCTCAGCAGTGCTGTGCTTCATTGATTTTATTTGGAAGGGTACAACTAATCCTTCTCTATCAGTTTTATTTCCTGACTCAAAATCTCAATCCCATAGTTCTGTTTCTGGCACAACCCTGCAGATTTTCCAGGCCATGAACAGCCTGGCTCTGTTCTGCGACTCAAAGTCCCATTTGTGTTGGTGGCCAGGCGGGGAGGTTCATCTCTGGATTTATCTCCTGAGCTCCCCCCTGGTAACCCCTTGAGGGTAACCCCTGTTCCTGGCTGTGCTGCTGCACCAGCAGTGCCAGGGGAGCCTGACAGCTGAGGACAGAATTTCTAGGAGAAGAAGCAATTGGGGAGGAACACACTTTTTCTATTGTTCTATTTGTTATTTAATTTACTTGCATTCTCTTACTCAGACAGGACATTCCACTGCTCCTGTGTGTCAGAGCCACAGGGCCCGGCTGGAGGGACCCAGCAGCACAGGCAGTGCAATGCTCTGTGCAGTGCAGCCACTGAGAGACTGAGAAGGTGCCAGAACACTGTGGCAGCACAACAAGAGAGATGTCAAAATGTGAAAGAACAATCCATTTACATTTAGATACCAAATTTAAAATTATTTTCTCCAAGCTTCATTCCATTTGTTGGGCTTTGGGCAAGCATGTAGAATCATTTAGGCCTGTTGCTTTCATCTGGCTCTCATCTAAATTCCCCAATTTGAAGGCAGCAGAGCATGGGGAGAGCTCTGTCTTTCTGGCAGAGATCGAGGGAAAGCCACGCAGCTCCATTTTGCTTTTAGATGGACTAGGAGTAGGATTTAATAATCAGCCTCTGCTCTGCCTGCCACAAATGATATGGGCTGCTAAGCCAGAATTAAGGAAATGAAAGAGAGGAGCTGAGCATTATCTGCCCCAGTGACTGCAGAGGAATCAGAGCAGGAGTTCCAGGCTCGGAGCCATCCCCATGTCCGTCCCTGCTTGGAGCTGGGAATGCTGAGATGATGTTTCATGTGTTTGATAGCTCGAGATGCCTGCGGGCTGCAATAAAATTCATTTCTTGCACTGTAAATCTTTGCTCTTTAAGCATGGAAGAGGTTACAAATGTGCATAAAATTGAAGTGCAAGTGATTACATCTCGCTCTGAGTCAGTATTGACAGCTCTGCCTGGCTCTGGGGTGCTGTGGGAGCTCCTTTCGTTGTGACCTGTGCCCAAGATAATGAAAACCAGTCAAGTGATGAAACTCATAAGTCCAAAGAGGATTTTTGCTTCTGTGTGTTTGTTTTTGATGTGTTGCTGGCACGGAGATGCAGCTGTTCCCCATCCTGTTCCTCACTTCTGGAAGGGTGTGGGCTCTCAGTGGCCCCACTGCAGGAAAGGAATGAATCCTTGTTCTCTCAGGAGTATATTGTTGGGTTTCATGTGCTGCTCTCAGGAGCGTGTTTGCTCTCACCTGCAGCTCTCAGGAGCAGGTTTGCTCTCAGCTGCAGCTCTGGTGGCTCTGCTGGTGTCGGCTGAAGGTCGGACTCGCTGATCTCGGGGGTTTTCCATCCCCGGTGGTTCTGTGGGCTCACCTGTGCCTGGCTGTGCTCACCTGTGTCCCTGAGCGCTCCCTCCTGCTCGTTCCTTCCATTGGCACTGTCACTCTTCACCGCTAACTAGCGGGAAATGAGCAGAAAAGGGCGCTGCTCTCTAACTGTGACAGAAACTTCTTCTTTAGGTGCTCAAGGCCCTTTTGAAGGGTTTCCCTTTTCCCAAGGCAGTGACACGGTGCCAGTGCCTCGGAGCAGCATTATTTGCACACAGGCAGGCAGCAGCCCGGATCTCTCCTTCCTCACCTCTTTGGGCACCTGAACCCCAGGGTTAGCCCGGCTGATGCCCTGGGCATTCCCGGGGATGTCCCGGCTGATGCCCTGGGCAATCCCGGGGTTAGCCCGGCTGATGCCCTGGGCATTCCCGGGGATGTCCCGGCTGATGCCCTGGGCAATCCCGGGGTTAGCCCGGCTGATGCCCTCGGCATTCCCAGGGATGTCCCGGCTGATGCCCTGGGCAATCCCGGGGATGTCCCGGCTGATGCCCTGGGCATTCCCGGGGATGTCCCGGCTGATGCCCTGGGCATTCCCGGGGTTATCCCGGCTGATGCCCTGGGCATTCCCAGGGATGTCCCGGCTGATGCCCTGGGCATTCCCGGGGATGTCCCGGCTGATGCCCTCGGCATTCCCAGGGTTATCCTGGCTGATGCCCTGGGCAATCCCGGGGATGTCCCGGCTCATGCCCTGGGCATTCCCGGGGATGTCCCGGCTGATGCCCTGGGCATTCCCAGGGATGTCCCGGCTGATGCCCTGGGCATTCCCAGGGTTAGCCCGGCTGATGCCCTGGGCATTCCCGGGGATGTCCCGGCTGATGCCCTCGGCATTCCCAGGGTTATCCTGGCTGATGCCCTGGGCAATCCCAGGGATGTCCCGGCTGATGCCCTGGGCATTCCCAGGGTTAGCCCGGCTGATGCCCTCGGCATTCCCAGGGATGTCCCGGCTGATGCCCTGGGCATTCCCAGGGATGTCCCGGCTGATGCCCTCGGCATTCCTGGGGATGTCCCGGCTGATGCCCTGGGCAATCCCGGGGATGTCCCGGCTGATGCCCTGGGCATTCCCGGGGATGTCCCGGCTGATGCCCTGGGCATTCCCAGGGTTATCCTGGCTGATGCCCTGGGCATTCCCGGGGATGTCCCGGCTGATGCCCTGGGCATTCCCGGGGATATTCCAGCAGTGCAGGTGCTGCTCTCGGCTCCTTCCAGCACACCCAGAGCAGCGGCCAGCCAGGCTGCCGTCTCTCCGTGGCTATCAATTAATGAATTAATGAATTAATGAACATGTGGATGCTGTTCGCGAGGGGCCAATCTGCGCTCGCTGTCGGAGCCGTCATCCTTTAGCAGAACAGCGGCGGAGCGGTGAGATCCGTGTCTGTCCCGTGTAAGGAGCAGGCGATGCTGCATTAAAGCGTGGCAGCGCCGATGGTTCATTAGCGTCCCCCATTTTCATGTAAATGAATTTCTTTGAGGAAAATCAAATCCATACCTGTGCTAATTGCGGTGATAATGATGAGCTGTGACTCAGGAGGGTTCATTACCGAGGCAGACTGTCTCTCCTGAGCTGGCCAGGCCTGGGATGTGTCTGAAGTGGCCCAGAGCTGCGGATTGCTGGAGTTAGTGCAGGAGCAGAGAGGGGAAATGCAGCAGAGCCACCAGGGGCATGATCCCCCCTGGCCCAACAGCCTTTAAACGAGGAAGGTTGTCTTTCCTCTGTGAAAATAACCCCGAGGCTTTTATTGATCATTTCATCTGAATTACGGATGATGCTTTTGTTTATCCCGGTGAGGCAGGGCCGTGTCAAGGCCTGTATCACTGTCTCAGAGCCCATCCAGGCACCCACAGCGTTCCTTGGCTCCATCCCTCTGGCACCGGGGGTTCCTGGTCGTGTTGGGAGTGAGGAAGGAGTGCTGGGGCTGAACTGGTGAGCAAACTCACCCGCAGAAGGACTGGTTTTGCTGGGAGCCCCAGTAATGCCCGGGGGCACTGGAGGGGTGGCATGATCTGAACTCGCAGTGGGAGCATCTAAATCTGTCATAGAAACGCTGCTGCTCCTTGAAATTGGAGCATGTAATGGGTAAAGCTGAAGTGCATCACAAAATAATACATGGAATTACTTTGCAACCTGTTCCATAATGACATTTTTTCCCAGGCTCATTTTACCCTTCTTCAGCGTTTAATAGCGTTCCCCAGTTTATTGGGTATTTGTAGTGTAGCCTTGGAGGATAATGAGTTTTATCCTGGCAGGTGTTGGACACCTTCGTGGGCAGGAGAAGTTAATGGGAGCTGAAGATGATCAGCCCTCTGCGGGATCAGTCCTTGATTGAACAGACAGCACCGAGGCCTGTCTGGGGCACGAGGGAAGAGCTGAATCAGGGTTGCAGGATAATATTGCCATGGGCTGCAGCTCCACGTGAGGTGCCTACATGTCCATCTTGGGAATAGCTGGGACTAAAATCCTGTCTTTGTCAGTGAGCACCAAGGGAAATGCTGATACTGGGCTGCACCCTGTGCATTGTACTCACAGTAGTCTGAATTGCTGGGGCATGAGAGTTTCTGAAAAGCCAGCAGTGATGTCTGGCTGCTGCCTGGGGGACACCCCTGGGGGACACCACAGCCTGGCTGGGGAGCACAGGGAGCTGTGTCTGGTCTCTGAGGGCTTGGGGGATGCTCAGGGGCCGGCAGACATGCAGGGGATGCTCAGAAGCTGGTAGGGGATGCAGGGGATGCTCAGAGGCTGGTCGGGGATGCAGGGGATGCTCAAGAGCTGGCAGAGATGCAGGGGATGCTCAGGGGATGCTCAGGGGCTGGCAGGGGATGCAAGGCAGACACTCAGAGCCCTATGGGAGCCATGTCCTGTTTGGGTCTGGTTTTGCAGAGGGGCTGAGAGGAGCCCCAGGAGACCCAAACCCAATGAAGTTTGACAAGCACATTTGCAGAACAAATCCAATTGTTGTTCTCGCCTCTCCTTCCACAGTGTCTCTTAAATCTTCCTGAGAAAGTTCTAAAACTAAACACGACACATTAAACACATCATCCAAAGTGTGAGTGGAGTCTGCCCCAGCTTAGCAGGCTGGAAATACTCAAACTGCTTAAGTTATGCCAAATTCTCCCAAAGACTGTGGGTTTTAGACTTGAGTGGTTTAGCAAACTGGGATAACTGGAAATCCAGGCTCTCTTTTTGGTCTCTGTGGAGTTTAGGCTGGATCTCAGGGAAAGGTTCATCCCCAGAGGGTGCTGGGCACAGCTGCCAGAGCTCCAGGAGCTGCCAGGGATGCCCAGGGTGGGATTTGGGGTGTCTCTGCAGGGCCAGGGGCTGGGTGATCCATTTGGGTCCCTTCCAGCTCAGGATATTCCACAATTCTGTGTCCTGGATCTGTCAGTGTTGCCAGGGTACTGCAGAACAGTTTGCTTTGTGTTCAGCTGCAGTTAAATATTTGCAGTTTTTCCTGACAGGAGCGTGTAGCTGCGCTCATAACCTTCTGACTGGTCTGATTTCCTTCTGTTTGCAAACAGATTGGATTTGAAGGTCATAATTAGGAAAGCTGGTACCTTCATCCCCATATTGAAAAATTCTCAGAAGTCATAAAAGTTGAATAAGAATCAACTTTATCCATGAGAAAAGCCAAGTTTAGCCCAGGAGATTTAAGAAGTTGGAGGAAATGTCACTGTTTTTGTAAAAAAGAAATCTTAATAGGATCTGGTTGTGGTGCCTCAGCAGCACAGTCACCCAGACTGCGGGAGCCTGACAAAATCAATCCCTGCTAATTCTGTTTATTGCCAGAGCTGGAGCTGGAGCTCGGGCTGGCCTGGGAGCCGCCTGCCCGAGTCCTGTGGGTGGGAGTGGGGGATCGGGAGCCACCGGCTGTCCCCATCCTGGGCATGTCCCTATCCTGGGCATGTCCCTATCCTGGTGTGTCCCCATTCCTGGTGTGTCCCCATTCCTGGTGTGTCTCCATTCCCAGCACGTCCCCATCCCAGGCACGTCCCCACCCGGTGCCCCCCGAGCAGTGCCAGCCCCACCACGGGCTCGGCCGCGGGCTCTGACCCCTGTCTGCTTCTCTTGCAGGCCCTGCTGCAAAAAAGAAGTACGTGAGCTACAACAACCTGGTGATCTAGGCCAGCTGCCATGGGGCACGGGCCACCAGCCCACCCGGCTGGCTGAGCTCCCCACACGGGCTCCAGGGAACCGGGCACGGGGGAGGCGAGAGGAGCCCGGCTCCAGGCCGCTCCCGGCATCTCCTCCATCCTGCCGGCTCTGCACGGCGCTGGCCTGGGCTCCGGGCTCAGGGCTGCCGTGGCCTTGGGACACCGTGGCCTTGGGGCCTCTCCAGCCTTGGGACCGCTGTGGCCTTGGGGCTGCCATGGCCTTGGGGCTCCTCTGGCCTTGGGGCTGCCATGGCCTTGGGGCTCCTCTGGCCTTAGGGCTGCCATGGCCTTGGGGCCTCTCCAGCTGTGGATCCGCCGTGCCCTCAGGGCCGCCATGGCCGTGCCTCAGGAGCGGCTCCCTGGGCCAGCTGTGCTCGGCTGCTCTGGACTCTAAGGGGCTAATTCTGTCTTTCTATGTACTTCCAGACTGCAAGTTTTTGAACTCTCTGTACAGTTTGTGAGGATTTTTTGCATATTGCCATCCATGTTGTTCCGAGGTCACTGTTTGTTTTTTGGATGCACAGTTTCCTTGAGGCCCTGTGCTCTCGGCACCTCTCAAACCAACCGACCACTGAGGATCTGAGACCTGTGTACATGACTTGTATTATTATTCTTGTATCACTGCAATCCATATACCTTATTTTTTTTAACTAAACAAACAAACAAAACAAAAAAAAATTTAAAGACCAAAAACTGTGCTGGCGAAGTTTGTCCCCCCCTTCACACCTCCGACGGGCTGCAGAGGAAGCAGGAAGGATTTTTGCTGAGTTTTAGTAGAGGTCTTGATCTTTGGAATGCATGCCAGTAATGTATTTTATGGTACATGTTAATAATTTATGTTCGATATTTGTATTTGTGTTCTACTTTGTTCTTTTCTTTAAGGTATATGACTATTTTGCAATAATTTCAATGATTCTTAGGATATTTGGAGGAAAGAATATGGCTTTTACATGTCTTGAGGTTTTTCTTTGTTGATGCCCCACCATGATTGACCAGTGTGATAAGGACTTACAGAAGCATGTATGTTTTCTACTGTTTGTAATAAGTAATTTCGTTAATCTTGCTGCTTATGTGCCAATTTAGTGAAACCGATCTTTGCCGCAACCTCCTCCCTCCCTTTCCATTCTCTCGATCCTGTGATATTATCCAAGAATGTATCAATAAAGGATTTTGGTTAACTTTTTTTTATTTACTCCAATAAATATATTTTTTCAGTTGTTCCCTCCCCCTTCCCCCTTGTGACTTAACATTTATTTCATGGCATTGTCAGACATGCAGAAACCCAGCACAGAGAGGCTTGTGCACGAGGAGCAGGTCTGCAGAAAGGCCTGGGGGAGCTGGCAGCTGATTGCAGGGGGAAAAGGGCTTGGAAGGGGCTTTGAAAGGTCTGTCCCAACCACGAAAGCCAAGCTGGAGTGCCAGGGTGCCAACCCCCTGTCAGTGTCTGATATCTGCAAAGCTGCTGTCAGCTGCTGAGGCTCCTTTGAAGGACACCACGTTCAGCAGCACACCAGACGGTAATTAGGTGAGCAATTAATCAGAGTCAATCTGCCAGGCACAGCCTGGGTGAGCTGGGGCAGGAGAAGGGAGAAGTTGAGGCAGAGGAAACTCATTCCCTTTGCAGCACAGCACCTTCGGCATGGCAGCCACGGCTCCGCTGCGCTGATGGAGCCTGGGGCAGGTGTTTAGCCTCCCATTTTCTGCAGACAACTTGATCACTTACCCTGATGAAGTTAATCAGCATCAGGAGAGCTGTGACAGCTGCGACAGGGCACGGGAGATGAAGAGCTGGGTGTCACAGCCTGCCTGCTCTGCACGGCCATGGCCTGGGGACCCTCTGCACCTCCAGTGAACTGCAGCTGACTCCAGATGGAGCTCCGCCAGGTAAAGGCTTTCTCAGCAACAAACTAATCACCAGCCAGCTAATAATGAAGGCAGAGGTGCTGCAGCGTTTTCCTGTTCCCGTAAACGCAGGGACAGAGCCAGTGTTGGGCTAAATAACTACGTTGCCATCAAATAAATGTTTCTTGCTCAAAGGCTGTCTTTTTTTTTTTTTCTGAATGGGAAAAAAATGGTTTGTTGGTTTGTTTTTCACTTTACTTTGGTGAAGGGTGGGACTGAGGTGGAAAGAGGGAATGGTGCTACTCAGAGGGGGTGATGGGGAATGAGGGACCCCGGGTGCATTAATGGCTCTCTCGGAGCTGTACCTCCACAGCCATAAATCTCTTGTTGTGTGTATGTGTACACACATGACCACTCTGTGTTACATACACGTGTCCTGGGCATGTTGGGAGCCCCAGGCAAAGTCCCCAGTTTTTAGGGAAACCCTCCTGTGCAATCGTGAGGGGCAGAAGGGGCCCCCCAGCTTCCTAAACTCCTCAGAGAGGAGTTGGGATGCAGCTGGACCCAAGCTCATCTTCACTCCCCCTCGGGATATTTAACTTTGGGATTGATGAGTCAGGCTGGCTTCAGCGTTGTTCACCCCAAAAGCAGCCTGACCCCATCCATCCAGCACTGACAGCTTTGCAGACAGGGCCTTAGTGGAGTTGTTTTACCCCATTGCAGGCAGAGCGCCCTGCTACAACACACACAAACAGAACTGATAATCACCACATAATCATGTCGGTTGTATTAATTTTCAAAAAAATATTTAATAATATGAATGCATTAGGATTTTTTTTTATCACCTCCACCCCTATTTCTATGCATTAGACTCTGAAGCAAGTCCCTGAGCCCAGCAAGGCTCTGGTTTAAGAGCTGACACAAGGTGAAGATGTTGCACTCTGCACTGTGGATCAATTTTTATTTTTATTTCACTAACTGCACCACACTATTACACCCACACAGCTCCTTTTCAAACACACAACCATGAGCCTTTAACTCCATTTAGAGTCTTTTATTTTACAATTGGCTGCACTTAGCATCTGTGCAGTGTTACCATTGTTTCCGTAACAGCTTCATCTCATTCCCCTCTGAGTACACACTGGTGTCATGATACTGGTTTGGTCCTTGCAGAGTTTCTGCACTGGTTTGGTTCTTGCAGAGTTTCTGTGCTGGTTTGGTTATTGCAGTTTCTGTACTGGTTTGGTCCTTGCAGGGTTTCTGTACTGGTTTGGTTCTTGCAGTTTCTGTACTGGTTTGGTTCTTGCAGGGTTTCTGTACTGGTTTGGTTCTTGCAGGGTTTCTGTACTGGTTTGGTTATTGCAGTTTCTGTACTGGTTTGGTTCTTGCAGGGTTTCTGTACTGGTTTGTCCCTGCAGTTTCTGTACTGGTTTGGTTCTTGCAGGGTTTCTGTACCGGTTTGTCCCTGCAGTTTCTGTACTGGTTTGGTCCTTGCAGGGTTTCTGTACTGGTTTGGTCCTTGCAGGGTTTCTGTACTGGTTTGGTTCTTGCAGGGTTTCTGTACTGGTTTGTCCCTGCAGTTTCTGTACTGGTTTGGTTATTGCAGTGTCTGTACTGGTTTGTCCCTGCAGTTTCTGTACTGGTTTGGTCCTTGCAGGGTTTCTGTACCGGTTTGTCCCTGCAGTGACTCCTGGGGTGCTGTGGACACCTCCATGGAGGAGATCAGCCCCAGGTGACAGGGGTGACTCCTGGGGTGCTATGAGGCTGCAGCATCCCCTGCCCTCGGGCTGTGCTGTAGGACCCAGCTGCAGACAGGAAATGTTCCCTTCCCATGGTGAGGAACTGATGAACGTGCTGTGAAAAACGCCCCTGTGATCCTGAAAGGAGAAAATTCCCCAAGAATGGCGGTGATTTTTTTTTTTGTTGCCTTTATTATTGAGACTGAATTACACCAAATTGTTTTGGTATGTAAATGCCAAGTTTATTGTTCATTAAAATCATTGCGGAGTTAAGCTTTCTGGGCATGTTGTATGATAGATAATGACAATTATTTAGCCCGAGTCAGAGCTTAGTCTTAATTTGTGACATTAATTGCCTTTATATATAATTAAATGCACTATAATGCTCCCATATGCAGAATCTGTGCATCCATGAAAGTGCTAATCAAACATATTTATTAATTTCGGAGAGAGCTTTTTGTCAGGGCTTTGATACAGTTGAGTGGTTTTTGGTAAATAACATTTTTTAAGATGTTTAGCAAAATATTTTGATAATTGCTTTTTGTGCTAGCGGCATAATTAATATCGTTTCTAATAGATTAATAAGAGCTGAGGGGTGAGGCGCTGCCTCCATCCAGCTTTGCCTCTGGCTCCCATGGAGTCAGAACTCCATCAGCAGCCCTCAGTGTCCCAGGCCTTTCCCAAAACCACTTCAAAAGGGAAATGGGGACCGTGTTGGGGCTGGCTGAATGCAGGTGACAAACCTGGAGTCCCACGAGGGCTGGGCTGTGCCCTCTGGGAGCAAATGGATTGGAACTTCCCACATCTGGGGCTGCCACTTCCATTCCCTGCTCCAGTGGGAGGCTGCCAATCACCAGAGCTGCCAACCGCCTGCCAATCACCTGCCAATCATCACTCCGTGTGTGTGAGAAGGGTTATGGGGCAGGGGGAACGTGGCCCTGCCTTTGCAGGGTCATTTCTGTCCCCTGGCAGCTCCAGGGGGAGCAGCCTTGGCTATTTGCTCTCCTTGATGCAGCCACAATTATTTAGTATTAATAAACAGTAATTGTAACAATAATTTAATTTTAGCAATTAAATGTTATCATTAAATTATAATTTAGAAATTAATTTAGTATTTAATTTTAACGATTATTTTGTATGTATAAAAATTTATTCTCTGAAAATTGGCCAAGCACTGCAACAGGGAAGTGATGGCATCCGCATCCCTGGAAGAGTTCAACAAATGATTTGTGGCATTTGCAATATGGCTGATGGACATGGTGGTTGAAAGTTTGACTTGATGATCTTGGAGGCCTTTTTCCAACCCACATATTTATTTCCAGCAAATTTTATTTTCAGTAAATTCTGTTATTTTATTTTATACCACCCCAGAAGGAAGAATACTCCTTTTATTCCCCCCCCCCCCCCCCCCCATAAGAATGATCTCAGCTTTATTTTCCTCCAGTTTTTGGTGCTGAGGACCTGCCCGGTGCCAGGGGGTGGCACTGGGCAGAGCCTCAGCCCTTTCCCCCAGCCAGCCCCTGGCTGTGCCCAGGCAATGCCAATGCCTCTGCTCTGACCCCAGGAAGGTTCCAGCAGCCCAGAGACGTGCACAGTCCCAAACCACAATGTCAGGATGTCCTTCCTTGCCACCTGCCAA